TTCTCCAAACCTGACTCATTGGTATGCACAGGAAGGTATGCACTATCGTTCTTGCTGGTGGATCCGGAGTTGTCACCCACAAACAGATTTGAGCAGTTTTGCAATATCAACTATTACTTTTTTTCATGAAATTTCTGATCACGTTTTCCTGACAGCTAGATTACGGTTTCTTGAGTAGGTTAAGGCAGTTAATAGAATGGGACAAAAAGGAAGCAATGTAATGAAATATAACTTAAACAAGTTCATAGAATTGGGACGCATAGATATATTAAAAAATTGTGAGATTGATGCAGAAATGTAAGTCAACTAGACAGGGAAGTAAAGAACATTTATTAGTAGATTTGCTAAAAGAAAAACTGGTCATTGGTTTCGAATGCATTTTCGTCTTGAGGCTTTCTAATAATTCAAGTACATATGTGCTTTGTTTATGACTTTCAGATTATTTTGGTTTATTTTCAAAATTATGTTAAAAATTTACTCACTGCAGTCGAATAATGTTCAACGAAAAATCATGCAAACTTCAGTAGCTTGTTGTCGTCAATTTTAGGTTATATTGTGTTGCTAATAGCTAATGTTTTTTTTATCGAATGATGCGTGTGTTACTTTTGGAAGATAGCAACTATTTACCTTTCTTATCTTTCTTTTTTTCTCTTAACTTTTGGTTTCTTTGAATATCTGTCACTGAAGAGCTTTGGTGAATTATGGGTGTGTGGGTATTCTTCTTCTGCTAGACGCGACTACCCATTCACACCGATAACTTGAAACATATTAAAAAAAAGTAATTCACAGCGAAAGTAACAAAAGGAATAATGAGAGAGCTAACAAATTTGGCCATAAAAAAAATTCTACTCCGTCTTGCTTCAGAAAATAGTTTGATTAAGCTGCAGATACGGATGGAACTTTAACTTTCTTTGAAAAAAAAGAAAATGAAAAACAACTATTTTTCAAAGGGTGTGGATCTCTTCTTTTCATACACACTCAAACCTAAATCTAAACTCAAACCCACATTCCTGTTTCAAATTACACCCGCACACCCATATCCACATCCACATCCCACCCACACACCCTAAAGTTTCATCGAGATGTAACCTCTGATTAGGATTTCTCAACCTTAATTACCATTGATGTATCTTAAGGGGGACCCCCCCCCCCCCTCAGGAATCGCTTTTCGTTATTCGTAGACCGATTTGGCTGAAATTTTCAGACAATATGTGTGTTGCGTTAACTAAATTTCTTGCAAATTTTTGACTCATAAAATTCTTGTTTTAATGAGTTATTGACAAATTAGTCCCCAAAATGGTGGTCTTCGTAAGGTACCGATTTCTGGGACTGTCGAAGAGGTAGAGAGCTACCTTTTGTTTTAAATAAAAGAGAAGTCCTGAATCTAGAAATGTATGTAGCGTTTTTTTCGAAATTCAATTTTGTTCGAATTAGCGAGACATTTTCCTGCAATAACTCGGAATATAGCGCTTTTTGACATCAGTGTTTTCCAGTTATCTCTGCAAAGATATCGAATTTCGAAAAAAACGCTATATACATTTCTAGACATAGATCTCTTCTTTTATTTTAAAAAAACAGTGGCTCACTAGCTCTTCTACAGTCTGAAAAATCGGTTCCGAGCTCTCCAAAAAAAGTGATTTTGAGAAAACCAATCAATGAGTTTGTATGAAACAATTTTTAATTTCACTATGACTGTCACGACCTCTATACAGCAATTTCATCAAGTATACAGGATTTTAAGCAGAAATGACTACGTTCCTCTAATTAATTAATATAGCAGAACGTATATGTGTTTTTCTTTAACCAAAATCTACAAGTTTGTTGACCACTGCCACATCTCCCTAACTAAAAAAATTTCTGATAAAACCTTATATTTCTACCAGTGCTCCCAGAAAACCGCTATTTTCGCCACTCAAAACCTTTCAAAATGCAACAAATCATATATAATCTGAAAGAGGACACATTGGGCTTTCAGTATATGTGCTTATCTAAAAATCGATTTTCTGAGGGGGGGGGGGGGAGGTCTCCCCTTAAGAAGTTACGCTTAAATAAAGTTTGCCTGTGATATTTTTTGACCTTTACACATACATACACACAAACGCATTTTATTTCATATGATCTTCCCTACAGTCGATGAAATAATTTTAGTACTAACAGTTCAATATATATAATGATGACTCGCATATTTTGTTTTTATTGAATATTTCATCTATTTTATTCATCATTTAGATGGTAGTCTTTATATGTCTCAACAAGCGTGCCTGTTTTGTTTTCTCTGTTCTTTATTTGTGTACACTGTGTGAGAAGAAAATTGTGCTTTATCCATGTATGTATAAACAAAGAAAGCGGGGACTCTTGTAGTTATATTTATTCATTATTGAATGATACCTATACTGCACATGTCTTTGCGCTAAGTGGAGAACCAAAGAAAAAAAGAAACGCATGACTAGCTCAATGACAACCACATGCTACATTTTTCATATTAATTTTTACGCGCATCTCTTCGATATTTCTGGTCACGGTCTTATTCAAAGAAAAATATCAAATGAATCATAGACAACCTTTATTAAATGCTTCAAGTCAATTTTCTATCGGTAATGATGATGATGGTGACAATGGGAATAGGACAGAACTTTTGAAAAATAGGTAGGATCTAATAAATAAATAATTTCAAGAAAATATAATGAATTTATTATTGCTCATAGTTTTTCTGATTGGCAACGAATTTTCAGTAGAAAAAAGATCGATAATAAGTATATGCAATTGAACGATGATGCTGAGGATAATGACAATGATGAAGCAGTTGGTATTTTCCATTTAGTAAGTGTATTTAGAAAAAATAAAAACTGATAGATGCTTTTGATTTTATTGTAGTTTCGGTTTGCAAACCGTATCGATTTTGTCCTAATGTTTATTTCTATGTGTTTGGTGCTAGTGCGGACGATCTGCATTCTAGCTAATCAAATTCTCGTTGGTCGACTCACAGGAATATTTGTCATTGAATCTTTTAGTGATCATTGTGATGATTTGCAGCAAAATTTTACAACTCCAGTAAACAACAGCAACACATATTCTCAAGGCATCAACCTCAATATATTCAATAGTGGTGTACCACATAAGTAAGTAACTAAAAACTGTTTTTAGTTACTATGTATTTCTTCTAATTTTCTTTGATAATTTTTCATCTTAGACTGCATTATAATAATACTCTAATTTTATCATCAACTTTACCTATGCCATCGCCTTCATTTCGAGAAGAAGTTATGGATATAGTTCGCTGGTTATTCAGTAAGTGAAATGAACGTCATAATTTGATTATCACAAATAATTTATATTGTCTTTTTTTCTTGTCTATGTAGTTTGCAGTATCATCGAATATCTGGTAGACTTTATTAAAAATTTCATTTGGAGCATTTGTGTAAAACGACAGATATATCGTATGAGTGTTTCCCTCTTTCGATCGCTTGTTCAACGAGTAAGTCGAATAGATTTCCTTCTGGAAAAAAATTTCCTCGAAGTTTAATCTCAGTCTTGTTTTAGCACTTTTATAAAACTAAAATTTTATGTTGTTTCTTTAGAAGAATTTTTTATTATCCACAAATTAGCAAACTCAGCAAATCTTCGAAATAAGCTGAAATATTTTCATAAAAGTTACATAAAGGGTGTCACGTAAGTTCTGATCCCTTCGTGAAATATTTTTTTTTCTTCTATGTGTCTGCATTCGAAGAGACTGATATTTTCAGTATTTATACTCGATGTCTAGGTCTACTCTATACTAGAATTTCACTTTTCCACTTTTTTTTTTATTACAGTGATACAAGCATCACTAAAAATAAGAGAAAAAAGTTGAAATATTATCATGAATACCTGATTATTTTTAATTCTTGATTATAATGCAACGTGAATAGTTCTACTTGAAAAGACATCTACAAGTCGAAATTCGATTTATATAGTAACGGAAAAGTTGCTGGACATCGATCCGTTATAGACTAGATGCAATTTTTCTCGTTCATAATTGTTCTAGTTACAATTCAAAACTTCTTATTATTTTTGGTGATGCTTGTATCACTGTAATAGAAATAAGTAGAAACGTGGAATTCTGATATAGAGTAGATCTAGACATCTAGTATAAATACTGAAAATATCAGTCTCTTCGAATGCAGAAACATGTAAGAAAAAAAAATATTGGATGAGGGGATCAGAACTTACGCGACACCCTTTATGCTAGAGAATTCCTACATTTCTGAAATCTTTAGATCTCTAAGGAACAGTTCAAGGTAACAGTGCCAAGGTATGCTCAATCTCACTATCGCTCACATACTACATGTTTTCTTAGAAGCTCTTGCAAATATGAAAGTTTTGAATTTTAATAGAATGATTGCGATCATTGATTGTCCTTGAAAGAATGCCCAATGGCAGCGGATTATGGCGTTGAAACTAAAAAGATACCCATTTTTATTATTGACATAGTTATAAAAGTAGTAAAACTGGAAATATATCCTGAAAACTGAAGTTGAGATAGTGTTATTCAGAAACGATATATAATAAATACCAAGGAACTCATATGGTTGTTTCCGAAGTATTATTTATTCTCAAGATTGCCTTTATAGAAGCGAGCTTACTGTTACCAGATAGGCGCCACTTCACCTTGGAGTAAACAGGCTTTTTCCACGGAAGATGGAACGAAATCGCGTTTATGGCGTTGGAAATTAACTAGGATTGCTGCCTTCTGATTTCAATGATTTTTTGCACACCGATACAAGACAGAACAAAACAAATGCTCTGTTCATATAAATTTTTTTCAGTGTGGAACATGAACATTTTTAATCAGAGTTGCAGGAGAGTTTTCGAAAATCGTAAAGTTCGAGTTCGTTTAGAATTCAAAAACAATAGCTGGAGCCAACATTTAGGGATGCAAGAGCAGCTAAAGTGGCATTCAGTCAAATCTTACTGTGTCTAACTGTTTGTCTCTCTTTCTCTGTTTTTAGAACATTCCTTATATGGATACCAAACCAATTAATCAACTGAATGCTAAATTATTTGAGTAAGTCATTCTGATATTGTGTATGAAATAACTACATCTGACTCAATTCTTGTACAGTAACATTACAAAAATCGATAAAAGCATTGGTTTCGAATTATTAATATTGATGGTAACGTCACTCAGTCTCATTGGTTGTTTGATAGCATCTGCCGTTGTCAATTGGCAGCTGACTCTGATCATGTTATGTTTAGTACCTTTAGTCATTGGCAGTTCTTTTATATTTTCTAAGGTAAGAAATGTTGTTCAATCAATTATATCTATATGAAATACCATAGCTTACCACTAATGCAACAATCAATGACTTATTGGCATATTCAAAAGCTGGACAAATTGCCCTAGAAGTTTTTAGTGCACTGCGAACCGTTCTCTCGCTCAATGGTAGCCAGTTCGAACAAAAACGGTAAATGAATACTATCAAAAATAGCTTACTTACTTTATATTATAAAACATGTTGCTCTATTCATTTTATTTAGATATGAAAGAGCGTTAGATGCTACTCGTTGGAGTATTATAAGACAAGGTGCAATATTTGGAGTTTTTACCGGCTGGCTATGTATGATATCCTATCTAGCTTATTCAGTTGGTTTTATCTTTGGTTCTCTTTTCATGTCACATAAACCTCATCATAGTTTGAGTATTAGCGATATTCTTGTCGTGAGTAATTCATTAAATCAATCATTATGTCAATAAATAAAGGATTACTATTTTAATGCAGGTCGTCTTCCTCTTCACAGATTGCTTGAGTTTCTTCAGTTTCATCGGTCCTTTTTTTCAATCGTTTGCAGAAGCTCGCGGCGCAGCAGGAGCGGTCTTTCGACTTATTGACGAGGTAAATTCGAGTAAATTAAGCTTTTATATTAATGGTAGTATTTTCTATTTGTTTACTTGATATAGGGAAACGACACAAGTGTTAATGAACCAGATGTATGGAAAGATGATACAGAATCGAGTTCTAATATCAATGGTGATGTTGAATTTGACAATGTTGACTTTATTTATCCATCTCGAAAAGAAGCGCCAGTTCTGCATAATCTATCTCTTGTTGCTCGTGTTGGTCGGACAACTGCTCTTGTAGGTTCAAGTGGCTGTGGTAAGTTTTTCCGAAACAAAAAAGTGAAAATGATTCCATTTATATTTATCATTTATTTATAGGAAAAAGTACATGTATGTCGTTATTTCTTCGTTACTATGAACCTTCATCAGGTAGAATAACGATTGATGGTCGACCAATAACAGACTACAATGTCAAACAACTTCGAGAAAACATTGGAATTGTTAGTCAAGAACCTGTATGCTTTGTTTTAGTTTTCCTTTTTTCCATTCTATATAATATATTATTGTAACAGATTTTGTTTAATATGAATATTTATGAAAATATTCGTTTTGGTAAAGTAAATGCATCAAGAGAAGAAATTGAACAAGCAGCACGAGAAGCAAATGCACATCATTTCATCATGCAGTTACCAGATGTTTGTGCCAAATACTCATCTTTATCTATCTATCTATATACATACGTGTTACTATTTATTGTTTAGAAATATGAAACAGTTGTTGGTGAATGTGGTGTACAATTGAGTGGTGGTGAAAAACAACGTATTGCATTAGCTCGCGCCCTTGTCAAAAAGCCTACATTTCTTTTACTGGATGAAGCAACAAATGCACTTGATAATGTGAGCGAGAAAATTGTTCAAGAAGCAGTCGATCGAGCATGCAATGGTAACATTTGTTTTTTTCTGTTTATCGTATTAATGCAACATTTTGTATAGGCCGTACAACTATTGTCATTGCTCATCGTTTGGCTACAATTAAGAATGCTCACCAAATATATGTATTAGATAAAGGAAGTGTAATTGAACAAGGCACACATGAAACATTGATATCTAAAGAAGGCGGCAAATATCAAGCAATGGTCAAGCGTCAACAAATGGAAGGAATCTATGATAATCAAGATGATAGGAAGAGCATACAAAAAGCAATAGAAGAAGATGAAAAGTCAATACGTATGCTAATATTCTTACAGTAATAGTATTTACATTTCTGTTTTTTTTCTGAGCAGTTGAGCGCTCTCGGTTAATTAGCGATAGTGAAACTGTTGATACGAACAAAGTATAGATATAACTACAACTGTTTATAAAAATTATTATTGATTATCTTGGTTTTAGCAAATTACAAAACCATTTAGACAAAGATTTGTCTTTTTAAGACTTTTGTCAATGAATAGTCCTGAATGGATAACAATCTCAATTGGTTGTATAGCATGTGTACTTAATGGAGCAGCTCAACCATTGTTTGCATTTTTACTTGTCAAAATAATTGAGGTGAATGATCCACTGATAGAAATATTGTGGAAAAAATTGAGAATTTTCATTGTTTTTCGGTCATTTTATTTATCATATAGGCATTTAAATATTGTTCAAACTCTGAACGACGCCATCATGTTTTAATTGCTAGTCTTCTATTTTTACTTTTGGGTGGTGTTGTATTTATTTTTCGTTTCTTTCAGGTAAATATGTTGTTTCTGAATTCGATCAATGATCTATTTACTATTTTCTATAGTATACAGCATTTGCCATATCAGGATCAAAATTAACACAACGTATTCGTTCGAAAGCTTTTGCATGTCTTCTTCGTCAAGAAGTGGCTTATTTCGATCGACCTGAAAATAGTTCTGGTGCGATTTGTACTCGTCTTTCTTCTGATGCATCAGCTATTCAAGAGATGACTGGTACACGATTAGGAGTCATCTGTGAAATTTTCTCTCTATCGTTTTTTGGAATCCTCTTTGGATGTTACATCAGTTGGCAATTAACATTGATCGTTTTCGGTTCTCTGTTCATTCTATGCTTAGTCGCCTATGGTGAAATATACTTAAGTCTTTGGCGAAATCAACAATCTGATCACATTATCAGACAAGCGAGCATAGTAAGATCAATTTTCAGCTAACAGATTTTTTTTCAATGCAAACTTATTTTATTATGACCTGTTTAATAAACTAAATAGACTACATTCATTCTTGCTTTTACTTGTGTAGCTTACTGTTGAAGTTATTAGCAACATGCGTACCATAAAACAGTTGTCAGTAGAAAAGGAAGTGTTACAACAATATTCTGAACTTGTTCATCAACTGTTTATGTAAGCCACTTAAAACTTATACATGTACAAATTTTTAATCATGCTTGTTTTGTCATAGATCGTCTTGGAAATGGTTGCTATTATCTTCAATGACATTTAGTATATTCTGGACACTAGATGGATTCGCTTTGGCATTCTTATATTGGCGTGGTCTCATTCTTGTTGAAAACAATGAACTGACATCGAATCATATTATAACGTAATTGCAACGATAGTTTCTCATTTTGAGATGATGTTTAGTTATCTTTTCAATTCATTAGGGCCTTTGCTATTGCTACTTTTACAATACAAACACTCAAAGTTCTCGGACTGATGTAATATTCTTTATTTCTACTTTGCCTGCTTCTTCTTCTATGGTCTCGATTCTAGATCTAATAATATCGCTACATCGGTCTCAGCTGCTCAAGCCTTTTTTGATTTATTTGATCGAGAACCAGCTATTGACAATACATCTACTGAAGGACAAAAAATAGTACGAGAACATATGAAATAATGATTTTTCTTTTAATCATTCACATGCTATTGACATAATATCATTCTTATAGGTTAATTTTTGTGGAGAGATAATATTTGATCAAGTCAAATTTATCTATCCAAGTCGGCCAACAAGTTTTGTTCTTAATAAACTTCAATTGAAAATCAAACCAAGTAAGTATGCTAAGATTTGATTGAATGATTTCTTTTAAATTTTTATTCACTGATAAGGTCAACATGTGGCTCTTGTTGGTATGTTTGAATTAGGTGTTTTTTTTTATGTTACTAACGTAATATGATGAGTACAGGTAAATCTGGATGTGGAAAATCAACAATCATTCAACTATTGGAACGATTCTATGATGTTACAAGTGGTGGAATAGTTAGTATTTCTTTAACGCTTAGTTTAAATAGTTAAATAAATATTGTCCAATCAATGTAGTTTCTTGATGGCATTGATATTCGAAAACTAAATCCTCAATGGGTTCGTTCTCAGTTTGGTCTTGTTAGTCAAGAACCAATTTTGTTCGATTTAACAATTGCTGAAAATATAGCATATGGTTTAGAAAATGTTCCAACAGAAGACATTATCAACGCAGCAATTAGAGCTAATGTTCATCAATTTATTGAGCAATTACCTCAGGTTAAATACTACAGAATTATATAATGTACCTATTACTATTGTATGATAACTTTTTTTCAAAGGGTTATGAAACAAAAGTAGGGTTCAAAGGTAGCTTTCTGTCAGGTGGTGAAAAGCAACGTATTGCTATCGCTCGAATTCTCCTTCGTCGACCTAAAGTCTTACTCTTAGACGAAGCTACAAGTGCCATGGATTCACACAATGAACAAGTAAGTTTTTTTTCTTTTCATTAATTAAAGCTTCATCTTCATTTTTTTCATTCATAGGTTGTACAAGAAGCTCTTGAACAAGCTCAAAGGGAAGATCCTAATCGAACGTCACTCATAATTGCTCATCGTCTTTCAACTATTCGCACATGTGATTTGATTTGTGTACTTGATAGAGGACATATAGTGGAAAGTGGCAATCATGTAGACTTGACACAACAACGTGGAGCTTATTATAAAATGCTTGCTCGAGACAAATTACAATGATCCGTACTGAGCTATTTTCACCGTGAAAAGATTTTTTTCAAAACATTATGAAAAACTTTGCCTGAAATATTTGATGCATGATACAGTTCTATTGATCGATTTTTTTTTATACAATTTTTATCATTGATAAGAAGTTGAGTGCTTAAACGAGTTATAGTATATTGCATCGATTTTTTAAAACTTTATCAGTCATATAGGAAGGTAGTACAAACAAACATGATCTCAATAACTGCTTCGAGTTTGATTAATTTATACGACAACAATCCAATATAAAAATACTTGCTCCTTCCTTTTTCGTAGAGTGATAATGGTCTAAAAATCGAACATTTTATCGCGATGTATTAGTCCGATTAATTGTGAAATGATATGGCGATGAAATTATTCAAAACACAGTTTCTGCAAATTTCTTCTCGACTTTCATTGAAACTTGCAATTTTTTAATGATCCTTTATGTTTCATAGTTTATACACTAGTCAAATGCTCTCAGATAGCCGAATCTACTAACGTCTATCATCAATTTGATATGTAATAAATCTTGTGGACATGATAATAATGATCATGGAGTTTTTCAATCTATATATGGAAAAAAATGGAATGGAATATTTCATGATTTTTGTTGAAGACAATGTTTTACAATCACAACAATTTAATAGGAGAAATCTGTCGAGAAATATACTAAGTATAAATCTAGAATAGGATTCCCATTTTGGTACAGTTCACTGCATGATTGGTTTTTGATCGATAATTTTGAACTTGAAACATGCGTCTGGGGACATTTTTGAAAAATTTTTGAATCTATAAACGTTTCGACAAATATCTTTGTACTATGTGAAGAAAAAAATCACTAGATGTTATGCTCTACGATGAGCTTTCTGCTGTTAACTTTTTTTCTCTTTACGTTATCTCTCTTTCTCACTCAGTTCTGTGTTCTATTCTGTTGCTCTGCGCACGTGAGTGTATGTGAATAGTATGTATATGGAATATATCTAGCTCTCTGTCGTTTCGATATTATGCGTCGTTTGTTGTTTTGTTCTGGTGTTGATAATATAGTAGTAAGAGAATCATTACACAAGATTACTAAACACGCTCTCTGATTGTCGTGTTGTTTATTTTATTTTTTATTGTAACTGTCTTGCTTCATTGTGTTATATATAATTTTTTTTTCTATTCTATCGCTTTTCTGTCGTCCCTTGTATTTATTCTTTGGATTCAGAACAACAGACTGTTATGATTTGAACAGCAGAAATGTTTTTAAATAAACGACAAGTAACATGTTTGTAATGTGGCTGGCATGGTCGTAAAGACAAAGCAAAGAACCACTGTAAAAGACAGCATCATCGTGAAGCATTCAAACTGAAGTTTGCAGAAACCAATATAGAAAAGTTCTTTCAAAAAAACCTTAAGTACCAGAAACAGTCACAGATATTATCAATGACAATGAACAGGAAGAAGAACAACAATCTTCCACTATTATTTCACCATTAATTCCATCACATATTCATTCGAATCTCTCACCCATATCGTCCGCGCATTTAGCAAGTCCGACGCCCTATTCCATTCACGATCAATTCGTATCGATGGTGAAGCAACTAATAAAATTAACAAGTACGATTGAACAAATGAATTTGGATAAACGAAGAGGTCATGCATCATTATTTTCATAATCAGATGGTATTGAAGAAGTATTTGAAAATATCAAGTGTTTCAATGACTTATACTCATTCAAGGATACAGAAATAAATAATCAGTTGAATATTACTACATGTATACCATGTTCAAAGTTAAAATAAACATCCAGCAAAACATTTATGAAGTACAATTAAATTTTCATTCGGCTTATTTGAATACATTGAACACGCTCCGGCTCAACTTTAACTTCAACGTTTTCGAAAGTTAAAGAGAAATTTAAAAGAACATACTGATGAGTGAAGAGTGATAAATGTTGTCAATGTGGTTTGTTCTTTTAATTAGTTCATTCTGCAGAAGTAACAAGTTAAGATTGTCAAGTATGTTCTTTTTCAGTAGCAAGAGAGATGAGAAATAATTGTAATTTCTAATATTTTTCTTTCGAAAACAATTCGAAAAGAGATTCTGAAAACATATTTTCACTCAGCTAAAACTTGTTTTGAGCCTCAATAGAAATTTCTATTCGGAATATTATTTGCTGAAAAGTTACATAGAACTAAAAATCTCTTGAATATTCACTCCCAATTCTTTAATTGAGAATCTTTCCTTCAAAGGTATATAGATCTGTTTGCAGAGTTGGAATGAATGTAAGATTAAAATATTTTACATAATAAATATATTTTCATCAATGCAACGTACGGATGAGGATAAAACCTTGAGTAAATGCAGCATTTTGCGCATCTCATTTAAATAGATTAATGTAGCACTGTAGCGTTGATTACTTTTACCCAAAAGCGATCATTCATCAATGTATAATTTGATTAATATTTCATCAACTTTCTTAGATCCAGTCAGCCATGTAAATAAAAACGTCTAGTCTTATATGTAAAAATATAAACCTATTCCAAAAAATCAATCAAACCGTCTTTGAAAACTGCATTTACTAGGTTTATTATCCATTGAAAGGATATGTTATAGAACACATTTTAAGTTTGAATACAGGATTTATTTGCATTTGTTACATAGTAGAGAATCTTTATCAAGTTTGTCTTCTGCTGACGATATATTTCAGTCATTTCTATCTTGGCAAAGCGATGTTGGATATTTAAGTAAATCTATAATGGTGATTGTTTTCGGCGTTATCGAGTGTTTCAATTGATTTTTATGCTATTGAAAATTCATTTCAAAATTATCATTTTACTCAAAAAAATGAATAATGAATCGATTATTTTTAATTTTATGTGATAAATGAGAGCTGATAATTGGTAATGGAGAGATAAAAAGTAGAAGAATTTCAATATCAAAACAATAAGCTCATTTTTGAAGATAATTTATCGAGGCTTCAATTCTTTGAGAATATACGAGACGACGAGAAACTTCTCCTACTCAATGTCAACCAACGATGATGCAAATCTCGAATTTTTTCAAGCAATCAGAACTTGCTAATGGTATCGCAATCTACTAGATTGTATTTTTGACCATAACCTCTTGTTTTCAGTGGTGCTCTATATTGTTGACAAAGCTTATGTAACTTAAAATACGATAGCATATGAACGACAAACTTTTGATTGATACACAATTACTCCTAACTTCGAAAGATAGTGTTCCGAATGTATTAGATACGTACGAAGCAACTTTTCGTGATGATCGATCAATACTTTAATCTACTATTGTGATTACAATTAAAAGGAAAAGACATAGAACCATTTTCTATCGAATATCTCATCACTAAGATATGCCTATTGTTCTCTAATATTTTGTGCAATTAAAATTCATCATTGATTGACCTGTTCATCCTTTGTTTCTACTTTAAATATCGTTAATATTGTTTTTTTTTTCAAATATATATTTTCTCAGAAAATCCTCATTGTTTTCTTCTCACTCAAGTGACAAAAAAGTCAGTTTCGATTGGAATGAGAAGAAAAACTCGAACTTCAAATGTTTTCTATTCGATGTTCATTAAATATAAGAAAGTCTTCGGTTTGATAATGTCCTTAAAGATCGATCTTTTATTCTCTAGGTTTAATAGAATACATTATTTATTTTCTAGCTTGCACTGAGTGTATCTATCACTGTCCACTTTAAACACCGAAAGTCAATTGAAAAACTCGAGTCAAATTCATTGATAGCTCTCATATCTCTTTGTACTTGAAATTATCAAATATCATATCAGAGAAGCGTCGCAGAATCTACGGAAGGTTTTGATAGTTCTTTTTTGAGAAAAAAATTATTATGAGGTTGCGATGTCATTTTCTCTAATTCTATTCATTTTTATTGTTCTGAAGAATCTCTGCAACTTGGAGAATATTTGAAGTTAATTTGAGCAAAGAAACGAAACGACAACTTGAAGACTGCACATCACCACAGTCATGACATGTTGAATGAAGAGAGCCAAAAACTGTTCTCTTCCTTTATCGTTTGGTACTGCGTAGTTGAGTTACACTAGGTGAAGCAGAAATAACTTGCGAAAGGAAGTGTATGTTTTGCATTATACTATAGCGCATTCAAAACCAATTCAATTTTGTAGTAGCAGTAGAGACTAAATACCTGTTGTAGAGCATAGTGTGATTTTTCGCAGAATATCAACTTTACTAGAAGTCATGACAATGAATATAACAAATTCTAAGAGAGAAAGTGAAAAAGTACACTTGGAGAATATAAAAATGCTTGTACACCTTCAGCTTCAATACACATTTTTTTCTTTTGCTTTATTTCGGAACAAGAAAACGTGTGCTATGAAGGTTTCTCACTTTGTCTTGGTTATCTTGCTTTTGAGCGTATGTTTCCATGATCGAATCTATGCTCAAACTACAGACTTAACATCATGTTTCGCTCAACAATGGACTGCTTGCGGTATGGCCGTCGGTACGGGAATTTACCGAAAGTACAGCTCATGGAGTGATATCGATGAAAAACAAGCTTTTGGTACAACATGCAAGTTACAATCCAAAGGCGGCTTTTATGATTGGAAGTGGACATGGAGTGGCAAATTTTGGTGTCCATCTTTAAGTGAAACCATCATAGGTAAAAGTACACAATGGAAAAGTCGGAATGGAGCGATCGAACATGCAATCCAAGATTATGTTACAAAAATGACATCAGCTGGTTTATTGACATCGTCACAGCTACAAGCATAAAGATTTCAAATGACATATGTTCTCAGATCGATTATCACCCGTTCTTCATCTTCATCCTATTCACTTTTTATTTTTTTTCTTCTGAATAAATTGTAAATCGATTACAAATTTAAACCTACCCTTACTGTTGTTACTGTGTATCCAATGATGCGGGATATAAACCTGTGTTAGCTAATTGATGAGATATAGGACTCTATGGCATCCTAGTCTATTTATTCTTTCGAGGTGATCAATGATCGTAGTGAGCAGTGCATTATACGCGTTTTGTAATACTTGTTTTACTCTTAATTTAGCATTATACAATACTAATTTCTATAAAAGTATCATGCTACTTTAATCTGATATAATTCAATATCTGGATGTTCCTAAAACATTCCTTGTCCTTTACATTTAAAATAAATTAACAGGAAATTACAATCTCTAATCAGAATTATAAAAAGAGTACTTTTTTAAAGTGGAAAAAGCATGAAAAAGCACTAGGAAAGTACAAAATAGTAAGAAAATTAATTCTTTTTCTTTTATTGATATGAAAAGTACTCAAGTGTTCATGTTTACATTTTTTTATACGGCTTTCTCACACCGTTTACTTTTGACACATCTTTCATTCGACTCGAATCACTCATTCTTAACAATTCAAGGATAGACAAAGTCGTTGATATTATAACGTTCTTAGTTTTAATGGCGCGTCTCTTCTCATCATCAACTACTATTGATTATGACGATGCTCCAGCAAAAGATGCTGGGAACTTTTATTGATTGACTTTTTGCTTACTCGCATTGAACATATTGTGAAAAATTTCATGCAGCTTTCATGCCTATAGACCAAAACCGCGTTGAGGAAGGGTGGAGGTATTTTTAAGCGTCCCAATACTTTTTGGAGTGACAGTATATGCTGATATTTATCTTCATACTTTTCGATGAATGTAGCAGATGGTGTGGGTGTAGGTGTGGGTGTGGATGAGAGTGTTAAGGATTTCCTTATCAATAGTTACACCCACATCCACACCCACATCCACACCCACATCCACACCCACATCCACATCCTCATTCCCACACCCACATCGACACCCACACACCCACGGCTCACACCACATCCACATCCTGTTGAGCCCATCCTCTTAGAGTGTGAGTGTGAATGTTGGTGGGTGTGGGTGTGGGGTGGGTGTGGGTGTGGGGTTGGTGTCGGTGTGGGTGTCGGTGTGAGTGTGGGTGTGTGTGAGTGTGGATGTGAGTGTGGGTGGGTGTGGGTGTAGGTGTTGGTGTGTGAGTGTCGATGAGGGTGTTTGATATAAGAGCCATCCACATTCACACCCACACACGACAACGACACCCACACTTCACACTCACATCGGCACCCACACCCTGAAGTCATATTTAAGAATGAAACCTTTCTCCGAAAAAACATTTTTCAACAACAGAAACCCGAGGAGGACCGTTGAACTTTCAGCAGCTTTTACAAAAGCAGCTCAAAATGCAACGTTCTTGCACGAAAACAGTGTTCTTTTGCTGAGAAATGGTAGTATATCACTTAGGAAACAATATTTAAAAGGGGAAAGCATTTTTCGAAAAACAAATTTTGTTGACGATATATGCGAGGCGCGAGCGTAAATGTTCTTCTGTCGAGTCCCATTCGTACTCACATCTCCACTCACACCCTAGTTCGGATACGAGTATTCGTTTCCGGCAGGATTCTTGTCAAGGAATAGTGCATTTACTTTTATTTACTTTTATATTCCGTTTCGTGTTTACCGATTTTCGTAGTGATTTGAAACATTCGACCAGACATTTTGTGACCAATTTATAGGTCTTGACGTGAACTTTAATTTCGCACCCAAGGTTATTACTCAATATTGCTAATGAATACAGATATGAGACGTGAACAAAATGTTTACTTGAGGGTGTTGGTGTAAGTGAGAGTATACATGAAAAGAAGACCCACCCACACCCCACACTCACACTCGTGCGCCTATGTCAGATATATGGTTCTAGTATCTTATATTGACATACATCGTGCTCGAAAAGAATTTATATTAGTAAAATCAGTTCAACATAGACTAAAGAAAGGAAAATATATTCTTTAATTTACAGATAAAAGTGGTATTTTTCATATTGACCATGCAACTGATTGTGAAAGGAAAGCTGAAGCTTAGCGACGGAACACTGTTAGTAAATAGACAACTCTGCATGCACTCCCTCCTTACAACATCATCTAACATCAATTTTGCAAGAAGAAATCTTACCCAACACGAATCATATACCGAATCCACAAAAGACGTGACAAAAGAACTTAAGAAATCAAAGCCACCTGATGAGACCCTTGAGAAAGTTCGAAACGCGTCATGATTTCTCATTGAACACACCTTCACACTGCTTCAGTATTAAGGCTTATTTCCGTTTGCTCTTATACAATTTAATTGATTGGTAGCTATAGATTCTAAAGATATCTGATGATGACTAGCTGAGCAATAATCGAAATGCTTTGTATTCGGCTTTGAATCTATATTTGAAAATTTTGAGATGATTACTCACCGCCACCCTCAACATTGGCTATCTAGAAAACATAAAAACAGTTAAAAAAAATTAGTACTTATAAAAGTGTATAGCAAGAATATGTCAGCTTAATATAAAAGCAAATAGTGAAAAGTCATCAAAAGTCAGCTTTTTGTTATTTCTTTAGGCAGAGAACATTGCTGACATATCATCCATGGAAATACGTATCAACGACGGATAGAGTTTTTATGATGAGAGCGAATTAATGGAGATGGTAGGCGTTTATCGTTCTTTTTCATATTATCCGAAGCATGCGCGAGAAAAAGAAGGAAGTTTCCAGCTTTTTCTTCATTATTCTTTACAAGGAACACTACGCTGCAAGTAAAGTGACCATTCTACAGTTTCGTGAAAGTCTTGTCCGGTATTTAGTGCTTGGCACGCCAATCGAGAAGCTGAAACCTGGTCCAAGATAACAATCAGCAAGTCATTCGAAGTGCAAACTCGCTGATCACAAGCTCGAAGAAAAAGAAGAATCTACGAGCAATGTCGGCAGACGATGCAGTGGCTGCTATGCGAATGAAAGGGTCCAGCAGTCAAGGGAAGCGAGCAATGCGGCTGCAAAGAAAGTAAAAATCTTCTGTTCTGACTGTGATAATTCTTTTTGTCTTGAGTGTTTTAATAATAAGCATTATGCTATGTAATAAAGGACTCAAATAAAGTACTGAAGATGGAACAGATGATACCTTATGTTTAACCTCTTGCCAAAGAAAAAAGCAAAAGAAAGTGCTTTTCTATACAGTTTCTCGTTAAACTATAGCGTCGCCCACCGATGGGCGACATCGGGCCCATTGTGTTAAATAGTCCATGAAGGTGGCAATCGAAAAATACAACTTTAAACGAGAAATTCTTTATGGATGATCTCTACAGTTTGTTCACTTCTTGAAAGAAACGGAAAAGAAAAATTATCATGGTAATGTGACATCAAATAATGACGTATAACGTATCTCAAAGTTAGCCTGATGAAAATTTATAATTGGTATCCATGAATGAAAATTAATAGACATTTTTGGTTCAAACATATGATATCCATTTCATGAAAAATAACCAGTTACATTAGCTGTTATATCAAGCCAGACAAATAAAGCTGGTCGATCAACTGTTAATGTAATATTAAAATCTGTTGGCGATATTTGTTTAATACTTTCAATATTAAGATTTGGAGTCATGAGTTGATAATCTTTTGGTCGACTTAAAAATAAAGTTTGTCCTACTTGATAATAATTAGAATTGAATATACAATGTAATATACATTGGCTATTATTGTCACAATGAGCATGTTTCATTAATAATGCATAAGATAGATTCATAAAATTTTGTATACCAGATGAATTAAACAAAATACTACCTCCAAACGTTAATCGAGTCATCATTGTATCTAATGTATGAATCCAACATGTTAAGTTACCATGAGTACCATTTATTAGTTCATTAACAACATCAATTGAAAGTTGAGCATTTTCATCTGTTATATTTGCTAAATAAGGTGTCACAGTAGTAATAGGACAAACAGGTGCATACAGCACACCCACACCTACCCACACACCCTTACGTTAATTAGAGTGTGGATGGATGTTGTTAAAAAGAACACTCGCACCCCGCAATCGCGTCTGCACCCACAATTACATCGGCACCTATTTCAACTTGAAGAGAAACTGATAGTGAAATGAATGAAAACTATGACAAAACCGACCTATTTCTAGCAGATTTGAATAAATTTTGGCAAAGACTTGCTTAATTTATTTTTCTCTTCTCAAGAAATGAAAAACAAATGAAGAGCTATTGATTATAGCTTCTTTCCCTTCTGCCAATTGGCTGTACCGATATTTATTGATGGTATTTTCATACAATATCTGTTCTTTCTAGAAATCAGAGTACAAAAGCAGTCCAATTAAGAAGGTGGTGGAACTTCAATAAAAGTACAAGTATTGATATCTTCTTGAGTACTCGTGATTACTTGTCGACAAAGAATACATCGAGGTGGTTCTCTTGATGTTGTACGCTGTTGTAAATGTGTAAGACACGTCTCACATACTGTTTTGTGTCCACATGGTAAACACCGAATAAATATTGGCTGCTCGAAACACATAAGACATTCTTTTGCTTTAGCAACTTGATCTGCGATCGTTTCCAGTTCTTCGACAATTTTGGCAGCTGTTGGTCGCAACTTTGGATCGGTACTAATACATGTATTTATTAATATTCTATAACTTTCAGGTACATTGGCAACAGCACTAATATCGGTTCTAGTGATGGTATGAAGTGGTTGATAAAAGTCTTTTTTTGGAGCAACAACATACATAAGTATACCAAGTGAAAATGCATCGACAGCAGTACCTTCATAAGAAAATTCGCGTCCTAGTTTATTGTTGCTCATTTCTGGTGCCAATGGATGTGATCCAACAATAGTAGTGTTTTCTGTACCATGTTGACATGTGCCAAAATCAGCTAGAAATACGTTTTTGTCATTGTCAAGCAAAATATTTTGAGCTTTGATATCGCGATGTATGAGGTTTTGCGCATGCATATGAGCTACAGCACGACTAATATGAAGAACAATACGTACAGCATCGCTTATGGATATATCGGCCATATGATTAGTCAAATATGTATGTAGACTCATTGAATAACGTGGAAGAAGAATACATAATCGATTGTTTCTTATGTCATGGTAGAGAAAACGTAGTGGAACCATATGTTCAATATGTAATCGAGTTACTGTACGATGAAAATGTGCTTCCACATAAGCAAAATCAAATGATCCTGTCGAATCCAGTAGAACTTTAGCAACGAGATTGCGTTCGGATCCCCATGAAGCTGGATGTACAGAGAAGAAGCCACCATTACCTAGGAGAGTACGAAAATCGATCGTAGGCGTAGTTCCATAATGTTTAATTAAATCTAAATTAGCCGCTAGAAGACATTCGATTTGAGCAAACTCAACCGCAAACGAACGTGCCAATCGATGCGCTCGATGGCGATGATCCATTGTACCCAAAACAATTTTATGATAGGCATGAATTTTTTCTTTAAAATTTCTTTCATTTTCTTCCAGTCCATCGCGAATATTTCGTTTAATACGCTCACCAATAGTAGTCAAATATGTCTCGATAGTAATAAGATCATGCTTAATTGCTGGTTCATTATCACGTTTGTTAACTTCTTCTGGTAATAATTCTGTGATAGAAAAAATTGTTCCAATAGTATTCATAAATCCACTAATCCCAGCGAGAATTTCTTTGAATGACTGTTTATTGAAATAATCTCGACGACGTTTATTATCAATAATATTAATATTATTGAGAAATTCTCGATAAGCTGCTCGAATTAATTCATTATTTCGAGTGGAACGTTTTACTAATAGACTTTGATCTACCTGTTGATTTACACGATGACTAATTTCATCGAAAATTTTGCTTAGAATCGGTCGAATAATTTCTTCTCTGATAATCAACTCGAGAAAATGTTTCTCATCTGATATTTCCATTGGTTGCATGGCACTAATTAAACTGAGCCCAGAATTTGGCAAAGAGAATTGTTGATGCCTTTCTTGTCTATGCACTAGAATTTTTTTCATCAATTGTTCACGTTGTTGACGAAATTGAACAAGAAATTGTCTTTGTGCTTCATCACCAATGATATCGATTTGTAAACGATATTGTTGAAAAAATTCATTAGCCCAATGCAATGCTTCATCTCGTAAAACATTCCACTCATTAGATGAACGACAATTTGTAATTAGAACAAAATCAAAAAATCCATCGATTGCATCCAGCATAATAGTACTGACTTGTTGTGTATTTCGTAAAGCATGTTCAAAAGCAAAACGAAAGATACGATCAATCGCATCTTTTCTCATTGTTATAGTCACCGGATGTTCACATGGCTTAACACTGAAAATATCAAAACAATCGCATTCGGCTAGTGTTCGAGGTAGTTCATTATTCATTGTAGGTACATTTTTCAAATGTTCATATCGATGATGTCGCTCGTTATCAAGAAACTCATTGATTTCGACATCATGCAACATATCATTTACATCGACTTTTGTATTAAGAAAGAAAATGGCGCCATTAGTCATATTACATATGGATAATTTGAGTTCTTCATAATATTTTTGTGTATCATCCGATATTGGTGCATTATCATAAAGGAACAGAAAGCATGGACGTGTAATTTGAATGTTTTTCATATCGATCGGTTCTGCTATATCATACACTTCGATATTCAATTGTAGAAAAGGTGATGGAATACAAATTTCAACAAGGCATGATGTCCAGTCTTCGGATTCGATTGTATCATCTCGACGAATTAGATAATGTTGAATGATATCATTAAATGTTTTCGAAGGAATGCGCGTTTGAAAGAATGATGATACATCGATACGATCAGCAGTCGAGTGTGAATCTTTACCTAGTCTATGTATGAGTAGGCAAACTTGTTCAATAGGAGCATAAGAAAATTTAACATTACGTTGTGTAACATTTCTGAAGCCAATTGGTAAAAATGTACCACATTGCAGAAGTTGTTGAATAAATGATGTTTTTCCTGATGACTTCTTACCACATACGACCAATTCAATTTTATCCATTGCTTTAAATTGTTTGAGAGTTGCCATTTTTTCATCATCGAGAAATATGTTGACAACATCTTTGACAGTACCCAAATGGCTATAAACCGAAGCAACATTACGTGAAAATCGCTTTTGTAGGTCGCGAAATTGAGAAATGATCGAATAGGTAGACAGTTGGATATCTTTATTTGAACGAATCAAGCGCTTAACGAAATCATCACTTGTACGATGACTAGCGGATGCCATTCTTTGTCAGTAACTGAAAAAGTAAATCAGAAATGGCAATATGAAGAAGAATCCAGCGATGTCAATAATAAATTCTCCATTGTTTCTCGAAATAGTACTTTTTCATGCGAGCAAAATCATTTGTCGACTTAAGAAAATGTGATGCACGGACATTATAAATAAGTCGTCTCAATTATCTCGTGATCAAGAAACTATGAGAAGCTGATATTGTTCTTAAAGATAGTATTATGATATTTGCTTAGTGCCTTTATTCTCTAGTTGCGTTTAGAGGAATCTTTTTGAGCAACTTTGGAAATTTTTCGATCAGAGCTATGTGCATATATTGTATTTCGGTGTCAATTAAATAAAATAATTACACCCACACCCACACTCTAGTTCCACATTTTAGCCTCAAAGGGGCTGCACTAACAACCTTTTGTACACTATTTGCGTCAGAAAATGTCGAGGAAGTGCATTTGTTAGATTTTTGTCTCTCTTTCTTTGCCGTCAATTGATTTAAATTTAACTTCATATATCAACTCAGGAGATTTTGAATCCTTTTTTTACTAATTAATGAACTCTGTTCGAAAGCAATTGTACAGAATGGATAAAATTCAGCTTGGCATCTTTTGATCCTAAAACGCAGTAGGAATTACTTCATAATATTCGGACTTATCTAAAAGATTCTTTGGCTCATACTGATTCTTTAAAACTTGAGTTGTAAGAATTAGATCATATCAATACAGCTTATTTTGTTCAGCTTGTAATTTCCTATCTTCTGATATATATGATAAAAAAATCCAACGGTCTGTTAAAACGCAATTTAGCACATCTCTTGTAGGCTATTTTTTCTTGTTTTCTCCCAAAAAAGGTATGACGTAGCTACATGCCGATATTAGATAACTTTTGATACGAAAGGTATTAGAACCTAAAATTTTGGGGTTAGTGATTTTAAACATTGATGCGTTGAATGAGCAAAAAAAACTAACAGAAATTGTTATCAAATGCCTCGTATACTCGATACCTCTATGGACGCTCTCTAAATGTCAAGTCTTTCAAAATAAAAAAAACACAGCAATATTTCGACTTGATCTTTTTTGTTCGTTGCATCACATTTTATACTTACCACCTGCTCGTTGTCTTGTTAGTTATAACAAATGAAAGATCTATATTGTTTGTTACTCAGCGTTTTTATTTGCATGCATTTATCGTTTGTTGATAGAAGATAGCATATCAACGAATATGTTAAAAAGAGAATATGAAATAGACTGCTTTCTCCGTGGAAGAGTTTTTTACATACCGAAAGTTGCATCTACGGCTTTCAAGACTTTAATTTTATCAAGCACACGGGATTCAGTGTACAGCTTTTCCAAAATTGGATGGGTACGTGTATCATGTAAACTTGGCAGCACACCGATATCGCACCTAACTCACACCTCACACCCACACCGGATAACTAAGTCTAAATAGTTGATGTGCTTGATACAGATGACTTCAGCACACTCCAAATAGAGTGATTCTTGATCGCATTACAGATCTAAGGATCGGAAGATTCAAAAAACCTCTCATGCTCTTTGATACTGTATAACTGTGTCGTTGCCAAAGCGTATCAGCATAGAGCGCCATCTATCAGTTTTTTTCAAAGTGGTCAGCATAACAATAAAGAGAAATTATAACTCATATTACGCTGATTCTGAATATATAGGGTGTGGGTATGAATCTGAATGATGGGAATACTCACATCCACATCCCACACCCTTCGATTGACGACTGGTCAAAATTAATTCTTTTCTCATCAATAATTTTTTTGATTAAATTGTTTTCTTGTCGAAATATTTTCTATAGAATAAAGGAACAGTTTCGGTTTGATCAATAGAAGATAAAATTCTATGTGACAAAAGAATAATCAGATTGAGTATATTGCACATTGAATTAATTAAACAATACCATTTATTCGATGAGAATTTTTCGTTTGGAATTGTCATTGTTTCATTTTCTGTCCATGTGAATGAAGAATGAACAGTTCTCGGCTAAAGTCTTTAATTCAGAATTGATCCTATTGTATGAAATCTTTAGCTGAAGATTCATCGTGATTAAGTTCACTGTTAGTGATATAAAATTCGACACAGCTATTTATTCTTTAGTATGATGAAGTTGAACCTTTTATTGTTTATTGCATCATGAAATCGTCCCCATTATTACATTTCAGATTTCATTTCAATATTTATTGAATCGATCAATATTTCTAAGGCGACCAATGCCTCATCACAACAAAAAATCGTTACCTACTTGTTCTATGCAGAATGGATTAAAAAATATTCATCTTCATGATATCAAACAAAAAAGATCAATATTTGTATTGAAGAATTGTTAGAGAAGAGTGATGACCATAGTATTTAATTCTGACGATGAGAATGTGACGAGTTGAAAATTTCAAAAGGATTCTTCTGCTTTGACTCGATCAATCACCAAAGTATAATATTGTTCATCTCTCTATTTCGACATAGCTTGTTAATTGTTCGATAAAGATGTCCAAATCTTTGTTAGTGTCTTTTCATGATGGTAAGGGAGCAATTATTTGTGTACAAACGAAGATAAAAGGTTTAATTGTGTTCTCAGTCTAACAATGCATTGCAAACAAATAATATTCATTTTCACTTCTATTCTTCTCTCTGATCAACGCTTCTATCTAAAGATGTTGCGCTGTGTAATTACGATATAATATATGATGATGCACTAGTGTTATTTCGTAAAAGCTTTGTAGTATTACAAAAAGGCTGACAACAGTTTTTACACGCCTTAGCCAAGAAAGACTCTGTTCGTCTATCACAGTCATTTCACGATTCATCATAGAAATGACTCATCGAACAGATTAGCATAATAACTGAACAGTGTGGATCGAACTTGGGTGACACGATCTTCAGTCGTGCGTCTTCACCATTAGACTACTGAAACTTATACTTTTGAAATTCGGCTGAATTTTTGATTATGCATACAAATCGAAGCCCAACGTAAAATAATAGAAGGAGTACATAAATTCCAATTGTGTTCTATTCACATACCAGTGACTCATTTCTTTCGTTTTCATGTGAGGTAGTGGTAGCTATAGATAAAACATAGAAAGACACCCACATCCTTGAGTATATGACATAGACTAATTAAAACTTCTCAAGATTATGATATGACTCACAGTCGACATTTCACTAATTATTGCTGTTTCAAGTTAAACTACTTTTTATCATAACAAATATCAAATATATTTTCGAATTTGAATATGGACTATTTTTGATATTATCAATTGACAGAAGAAATATTGGCTCGACTTTAATGTTAGAGAATAGCTTATAAAATTTCCAACCTTAGAATTTTTTGCGTTTAATTCTGTAAGGGAAAATAGCATTCAATTAATATTTGGCGTCTTCGAAAGAAAGTCATAATCTTTGCAAGAAATTATAGGCTTTGCATTATAGAAAATCCAATATTTAGTTTCGAACGTGTATCTTCATTTTATATATTTCAACATATGATAAAATATTTGCTTCCCAAGTTTTTTATAATTGACGAAAATTAGTCAATAATAATAAAATATTCGTTTAAGGAGCGAAAAATGGCAATAAAATTGTTTTCATCATCGTATATGAAATAATATTGTTTCATTTCGGTGTTGAATAACTATTAAATATATAAATCTTGAAATCAATTATGCAAATACGACATTCATCATCATCTAATCAATCAAGAAAAAACAATTCTTATTTTCTCATGAATGATTCTGCCATTTGGAATCTTATATATATTTGGCTAATTTGACTTTATTTCGTTCAATTGGTTTTTTTTAGAATATTTAAATATACAATCAAAGATAAATATATGAGAAAGAAATTACATGAAAATGCACAAAACAAAATGACAATACGAGAAATTGTGTTTAACATCTATGTTAGTTTTGCCTCTCGAAAATTGTGGTAGTTCTTGAAAGAATTCCTTGAATCATGTGTTGTTGCTCACAGTGGCATTTGATACTAAATGACGTAATACTTTCTTTTGAATCAATTGCTTGAATTCACGCCTGAAAAATGATGATGATAAAGTATAAATAAAAAATGTTAAAGAAAATTCCAGATGGATAAACATATAACTCATATTATTGATAAATGCTTCAATTGTTACACGAAAAGATGATTTCGTTTCATTTATTGTTATTGTTTGATAAAGAAGAAAACAAGGATTGATTATGTTCAAAATGGTCCAAAGTAATATTTGACTAAATAACATTTTAGAATATTGTAAATCTTTTCCTGATATTCCAGTAAATTCTACAGGTCGAAGAGCATTAATTACTGCTACTGGTCTTGTTTTTCGTTTGCTTTGTCGAATATTTTTCATTGTGATATATCCAAAAAGAAGCATAAGCAATGGTGGAAATATCCCACTTTCAATCGATAGATAGATACTGAAGAAAATTCCATAACCACCAGATCTATATGAGCAGAGACCATCTTGAATCTCATAGAAAACAAGAACCTGAATGTACACCAAACACCAAAATATAAAACTACCAATAATTAATCGCATAGCGATCTTTGATGAACTCCATCGACGCCAATAAATGTCAGAACAACTAGCAAAATAACGGTCGATTGATGCCAAAATAATATAATAACGTGGAACAGCAACAAAAAGATAGAAAAAATAATTGCGAATTTTACAAAACCAAAGGAAAATATTAATTGCATTAATATTGAAACCAACTCGAAGTATTCTTGTGACAAGAACAAAATTGAAAGTTATGAATTGCGAAGCACTGGAAGCTAGGAACTACATGACACATGGATTTTTGCGAAGCTTTCGTTGAGAAAAGATAAAACAATTGATAGTTGATCCAACATTTCCCATAAGCCAAATAAGACCCATGCCATACCTTGAAATATTCTGATTAAGAAGAAAAACAAAACTACACCAAGATATCTCATAATCATTAGTACCACAATTAGTGCGATTTGACATTTGCAACGAATATATTTATAAAGTGTCAACAACAAGAAAAAAAATGAAGCAAGTTAATCTAAAGGATTCTTTTTAGTTATAATTTTTCTGGTATTTTGTTGAACAAGAACATTTTCTTTTTATAGAAAAAAAATTAATTTAATTCACATGGCGTCAATTTACTACACAAAAAATAAAGAGAGTAATGAAGCATTCAAGACGGAAGACACGAATTTCACAGATGACTTTTGGCTATTGACGAAAGTCCAATAAAAACATAACTTTTAGCAGTGCCCATATATATATGGATTAAATCATAAATTCACTAATTAATTATGTTTATAAAGTCGCACTTTTGGCAATGGATGATTAACTTTTTGTTAGAAAGACATAGCAGTTAGAAAAATATCGCAATCCAGTGTAAAATCTAAGAATTCTAAAATCGAAACGTCGAAAAATTTTTATCCTTAGACTTTTGCAACGTCAAATTATATTGTGGGAGAAAATGCAGTAATAACGAATAAATTGCTGATAGACCAATAATAACTTATTTAATTAGAATATAATGCCTCAAACTTGTTATTAAACTATCAGGAATTGCCAAAAGTCATGTCATATATTCAAATTTCATCCTTAACAAACCTGTTCTAGTTTTGTTAAGGAAAAAACTTGAATGTACGATATGACTTTTGGCAATTTTTAGAAATCAACTGTGGGAGTTAGTACTGTAAAACTCGTTCTATCCTTCATGGTAGAAATATATTTATCAAATTTTTGAATCTTTGTCCAAATCATATAATTATCAAGCTCAACATAGAAATGTTATCGAGACAATGATGTGAATAAAAATTCGCTTGTTTAAAGAAAATATTTATTAATTTCCTTTTGATTAGATATAGAATCGAGATTCAAGCGTAACCACTGATTCTTAATTGGATCACAATTCAAATGCGTAATTTCTTTAGCCTATAATCAATAGTATGGCTATATTTCTACGATCAGAATGAAATATAATTACCAAAAGATCTTTTAGAATATGTTCAGCCACTATCAATTATTGTTTTAAATCCTCTTTCTCTAATTACGTGTACGATATAATGTTGTTTTACGTAGCTCGATACTGATTTGCTGTAAAAAAGAAAAACGAGTAGGACTAAATGCAAATATATTCAGTAATGATCAATATTCTATCGAATAAACGATCTTATTTATAATAAATTTCAATGTATTTCAACGATAAAATAAAAACAATCTGTATTAATATTGTCAATGGAGTAATTTTATTAAATTTTAAGCTGCCCAGGGAATAAAAAAATGAAAAAAAAGGCATTTCTGATGATGAAACAGACATTTTCTTTGATGTTTTTCGATTTCATCGATGAAAATAAATATTTTCATCAAAATAATGCCATGACTTTGAAAAAAATCAAATTCATGAAATGTCACCGATGAAAATGTTTATTTTCATCGATGAAATTGAAAAACATCAAAGAAAATGTCCGTTTCATCATCAGAAATGCCATTTTTTTCATACTTTTGATGCAAAATTCATGAAAGTCATGGCATTTTTTTCATTATTTTATTCCCTGGGTGGTTACGGATATGCGCATGACTTATCTTCCTGGTTTTATTTAGTCGACGAAAAAAGTTTCTCCCGCTAACTATATCGTTATTTTGCCCTTTATAAGGATATTAAAAAAAGATAATATTATTATCACATATATTGCTCTTAGATCCTTCATTACTCATATTCAGCTTTTTTATTTCTTTAAGCTTTTTGTTTTAAATTGATTAAATACTAAAATCATCAAAAAATTAGTCAATGAAAACAATTTCGTTCGTGTTGAGATGAATATTTTATTTTATTTCAATGTATAAAATTATAGTACAATACACTTATATATATAGAGAGAGAGAAATTATACACAATTAATATACTCATAATGTCTTCTTAGTTGCTTGCTTCTTCTTTGATTAAAGTAGAAACGTGTGAAATGCAGCCTTGGATGACTTTTTGTGAAATGAGATGACATGCTTGATCAACTGCTACTTCCAGTTCCGCTTGAGTTTTTAGCTGTGCTGTCTTGACTGTTTCTTTGAGTGAGTGCCAAACATTTTCAATTGCGTTGAATTCAGGCGAATGAGGTGGCCAGTCCAATAATTTGAGTCCATGATCATTGAACCATTGCCGAACTAGTTTTGCCCAATGTGATCTTAATTTATCTTGAGCCACTGCATACCGACGACATTTATGTACATGTGGACCAAGATGAGAAGCTAATAAATGTTGATATAAGGTTTGATTGATATAGTCATCGTGTCTTGCGAACGTTTTGCCATTCCACCAAACTGCACCCCATAAGTTGACATGCGCACGAAGAGAAGAGATTTCATGTGTAGGTGTTAGTTCTCCACGTTTCACCCAAACGATTTTACCTGTGTTACGCAATTGGATCTGTGTCTCATCAATGAAAATCCATTTTTTGATGTCACTATTCTGATGCTCTACTGCAAATAAATGACGTCTTTCGACTTGAGTTTGTGTTGATTTGACTTTGGTTTGTTGTTTTCGTGGATAAAATCCAAGAGCTCGTCGATAGTTTTGTACTGTACGTTCACTAATTCGAATGCCGAACTTGTTAAAGATATAGTTGGAAAGTTGATTAGAAGTTGCAGTTGGATTTTTTGAGATGTACTTGTCGAGTGAACTTTGCTGTCCTTCAGTGAGAGAAGGTGACCGGCCTGATATTTCCTGTTCAGTCAATAATCCCGTTTCATTGAAGCGAGCAACAGCGCGAGAAACGGTTCGACGATCGCAATCCAATTAATGTGCTATTGCACTGAATGTCATGTTTTGGCTTTTGTGCTTCTTTCACTGCAAAAAAAAACATTCTTCACATGTCAAATGTCGCATTTTTAATGATTTTAGTATTTAATCAATTTAAAACAAAAAGCTTAAAGAAATAAAAAAGCTGAATATGAGTAGTGAAGGATCTAAGAGCAATATATATGTGATAATAATATTATCTTTTTTTAATACCCTTATAAAGGGCAAAATAAACGATATAGTTAGCGGGCGACACTTTTTTCGTCGACTAATTGCAGAAAGAAAGAAGAAAAATGAGTAAAAATATTCTTAACTCCAATTAACTAAATCGTTTTACAATCTTTTCTACAATCCTGTATATCATTCGACTATTCAAGAAATTAAAAAGTTGTAAATATTGAACTTTAAGATTAACATGGAAAATTATTTATGTCAAAAATAGAACACAGAATAATACTACCTATTAATGTGCTTCATTTCATAAAGATTGTATCAAAACAAGTGAAAGAAAGTATGATCTATCAATAATTATTCTTGTAATCAGCTGATGTCAATTAGAATCAAAATAAAATCAGCCTTAAACTGCAAATAACAGAATGTAGTGCAGTAGTACCAATTAGTTTTGTCGATGTACATCGATCTGATACTTAAAATGTCAGAAGTGTATTCGCTTGTTTCCTGAAATTCAAATTACTTTTATAAAAAAAAAAAATGAGTGTTAGCATTGTCAAAATTCTTAGATAAGATACGGCTAAAATTCTCTAAAAAATACTTGTAGCATTGACTGGGCTAAAATATTCCAAAGTATCATCATGTTTCTCTTCATCATCATATCAAACTGTATAACAATAAACAATAACATATCGAGAATATTTACTTTGTTTGCGGAATCAATGGACTTTTTTGCTGTTCAGGATCATAGAATTCTATCAAACTTGTATTGCCGACAGATTCCAATAAAGCTGTTGATGAAATTTTAATAAGATTATATATTTCATCTATCTGAAAATTTTTTTTTTGAATTTTCTTGAGTAATATTTCTTTGGCATGTTCATACGCTATTCCTTCATCGTAATTTTATGTCCATGCATATTTAATAATATTTCTTATGTCAACATTTTTGCCTCTCACTGGTGGTATGGCTATTAATTAATTGATTTGTTGAGAGACTTGATGAAGTGAGTCTTTCATTCGATTCAAGTAATTTTTGACTATTGCCTTCACGTATTGGTTTATTCATATTTAGATTCACATTAGGAGTCTGAAAAATTTGTTCTTCTTTCTCAAGGTATCGCTCGAATATAAGCTGAAATGAATCACGTTGAGTCATTGGTTCTTGTTGTCGTAGGAAATGAAGAAATCGATTACATTTAAATAGAAAATTATGGAAACTATTTTGCCATCGTTCATCTTTAAGACCTGCTGGTAGTGAAACAAATTCATGCATTACGTTAAATTCAATCAAAAAACGTTTTTAATTTGTAGGACAACAGCTATGTTGATTTGAATTGTTATTCAAGATAGATGGTTGATATTGAGGTAACTAAAAAGGACCTAGTGCAACAATAATAATTTGTGCACAATTAATTCACATTTCAATATCGATTGGATTTGAATTTAATATCATATGATTAAGAATTAATTTAGCTTCGGGATGTGGGTGTGTGGGTGTGAGTGTAGGTTCTTCTTCAATCACCTACACCCTACACTCACACCCTGCCGGCAAACATATGGCATTAGCCATAGTTTTTTAAAGATTTTCATACAGAATAGCAAATGAAACCTAAATGAACTCAATTGATGTGGTTATTCTCGAGAAATTGTCAAAATATCGCCCAGAAGGTATTTATGTATAAATAGACATGAGGACTAAGAGGGTGAAAAAAGTCTGCTAGGGTTAAAAATTTTTAGAATGGTTTCAAATTGAAAAAATTTGGATTTGTCCGTAAAAATGAATGGTCTTTCCAGCGATGTAGTTAAAGTTGAAAAAGAAATTTTGCTCTCTCCGGGGTTCAGATAAATGTTCGGTTTTTTCGCGGAACCTCTCTTAAAGTATTATCTATCTTTTGTTTCTATCATAAAAATAAAAATCTTATTTTTGAAAAAATTAAATTATTATGAGAGAAAAAATAATAGATTTACAAATACAAAATTAACAAAAGAGATTGGTGATCATTATTTAAATCAATTTTTAAAACAAAATCATGTTGTTCTATTTGGTCTTGAGATGTTCTTGGAAATTCATTTGGACTTGCTCGTGATGTGGCTGAAGGAGTCGAATCATTCTTTTATGAACCATATAAAGTTTTATCCCTCAAAAAACTTTTTTTTTCAATAAAATCTTTTGTTTTGAAAGGGAGCAATGGAGCGTCCAGTTGAATTTATCGAAGGTATAGCAACAGGTACAAAATATTTAGTTGGATCAATTGTTGGTGGTGTAGCTGAAGCTTTATCAAAAGTAACTGATACAACAAGTAAAGGTTAGCTAGATTAAGGGTCGATCACGATTATCAAAATGCAAGCATTCAAAGAAAAGAAATTTTTCTTAAAAGTTTTCTTTGTCTTGTTGAAAGACCACCTAGTGAGATTGCAGATTTAACAAGTACGTCTTTCAAAGTAACCAAAAGGTTATTTAAATACTAATTTATTTATTTTATTCAAATAGAGTTGCAACAAATGAAGAAATTATTCATCGGATTAGAAATCCATGACATGTTGGAAGAGATGGACTTATTAGATCATCAATTGCTCATGAAACACTTGAAAACTATATATTTGATGTTTGTTTTTCTCTTTACTTTTAAATCAAACGAGTTTATTATTTATTTTTATTTAGAAATATGCTGAAGATCAACATAGCGAACATGAAGGTTATATTGCTCATATTGATTCATCAACAAATCCATCAACATTATTTTTTGCAACAACAGAGTAATTCAAATTAAATGATTTTTATCAATTAATTTGTTTTTTTTCTTTAGTAGACGTTTTGTTTTCTTAGTTCGAAATAAATCAATACTAGATCAATATGAAATTGAATGATTACTACTAAGGTCCCTCTCCCCCCCCCCCCTCCACAGAATTGATTTCCCACTTGGAACCAACCGTTTGGGCTGAAATTTTCAGGGATGATTAGTCTTAGTGAGAAACGCTTGTGGTAAAAATTTCAACCTGATATGCCTGACTAGATCAAAGTTTCGGCTTGTTTTCCTACCTTCCAGGAGAATCGAAATAACTCCATCGTTAGAAGGGGTACAAAGCTTGGGCTGATTTCAAATTGGCGCTAGCCTCTGTACGCAACTTTTTATCGGGTGAAATTTTGAAACTCCCTTCCATTCATTTTTTACGAGCAATTTTGTGGACATTTTTGCAAAATAAGCATAAAAAATGTGACTCTACGATAGTAAATCCCACTTTTCTCAGCCCTGGGATCGAGTATCAAAAATCCATCCGATGAAAAGTTAGCTCTAATTAAGACCTTTAAAACAAAAAACACATCAGTTATATGCCGAGTCGAATGGGAGTTATTTCAATTTTCCTGTTTAGAAACAGTGTTTTGAGAAAAATACTAAAGAAGTTTTAGAAACGGATTTTTCATTCAAATCCAGAACAAATCATATTACAGTGGTATATTCCACTGGATTGTTTTAAAGGACGTAAGAGATGAGAGTAGCTAACGCCATTTGACATGCTGATTAACTCTTTGAGGACCGAATTTTTCTAATCGAGAAAAACATTTTTCAACCTTTTGATTTTATTTTAACTCAAAATCGCTACATAAAAGTGTTATGATAATCAAAAAAACAATTTTTTTTTTCATCTTTTAAACAAAATGACAATTTGCAAGTAAAGCACTCGATGTTGGATCTAAAATCTGCTTCTTTGGTGCTACAATAAGCACATCTTCTTCTTTTCCCTTTCACAGGCAAATGCATTTCATTGTCAAAATTGCGGACAGTTTTTAGTGATGCTTGTTTATACTTCTTTTCAGCAGGGGATATTCCACGACTCATTCGTTCACTGCTAGAGCAGAAAGACTTCGCCACTGAAACCATTAGTTTAAGTATGTTAACTTATCTTGAGCTAACTGATTATAACAAATGAATGAGTTGAAAATAGATGCATTTAGAAAATAAATAAACATTCGCAGCCAGTTCCTTTCAGACTTGCGATCGAGATTGTAGCAGGATATTCTTAGGCTGAGTCGGTCAACTCCATGTGAAAACTGATTGTAGTCTTTTACTGCTTTCGGACAGCCAATTATAATACGTTGATCATTTTTCAAACAACGTGAAATTGGAACAACTTCGTTGTCTTTATGATAATTTGGGGTGTGGGGTAGGGTGTGTAGGTGTGGGTATGTGGTGTGGATTGGCGTGAGGGTATGGGTGTGGGTATCAATGGGTAGAACACCCGAAGCATACCCACAGCCTCTCTCAGTTTTTCACGTTGACCATCTCTACGTGTCATGTATGACGATTGAAGGGGTTAACATTCCTAAGGAGGAAAAACTAATAAAATGAAACTAATCAAGAGCTACTGCTTTTCCATTTTGTTAATTGGTATTCTTATCTAGTGCACTCGCCCACCTTTTAACATGCAAGAAAGGGAGCAGTCTTTTTTCTGTGTATCACACCTAAAGAAACATTTTTTCTCTGATCAGTATCATGCTGTTTGCTCAAGAATATTTCTCTATCAATAAGTAACGGTCTCATTCAGCGAAAGGAACAAAGGCACAGCATCATCAAATATTAGCCAACAACGTGCGTACCTTTAAAGAAAATAGACACAAAAAAAAGCGAACCTGCTTGTTTTCCCTTGAACATTTATATAGTCTACTGCATTTCATAGTTAGGTAGATTTTAGCACGGCTTTTTGCGACGAATGCTTTTCTTTTCCTTTTAGATTCATAGATAAAGAGCATTCATGAAGGTTATCCTTCTACTCTCACTTGTCTTCACATGTACATGGACAATAGACAGCTATCTGGTAAATGGATCTATTCCTGGCGAGTCAGCCGGATTGATAAGCGAGCCCTATTTTGAGAATACGCCTCCTCACCCTCCAATATATCCTCCAAGATGGGCAGCAACTGCTCATTTCCAATTTATCAATGCGTCAAATAATTTGCCTGCTGGTGCTGGTATCTTATACCAGGTAATTGATTCAATTAATCAAAAATTTCGAGCTGATGACCTCTATTTTGCCGGAACATTTTCCTCCCCCTACGATACTCTTTTTGCCTCATCCGCTCCTCTCGATACATACCTCTACTATGCCAGCCTTACATCAAATGGAATATCCTGTGTTATATACCCAGGAAATCCAGTCACACTCTCACAAAATTGGATTGCAGAGTTATGTTCGTACAACTCGACACTATACTATCAGACAACCAAAGCTTATCGATGGAATTGTGCAACAGATGTTGTAACTTGGTTTATCGATACAGCAGCTGTTGATGGACGTCTCATTTATCAACATACACTCCCTCAACCATTGTTTGATGTCTATCAAGATTTGTGGTTCACAAATTACACTGTTATTGTAGAAGAAATCGATCGAGCAGTCTTCATTCCACCAAAAGGATGGAATTGTCCAAATTATGAAAGTGCACAATCTGTGAAGCATACATTTTCCATAATGCTCCCAGTTATTCCTATACTATTATACACTCTTAATCATAATTATATTAACTAACTCTTAAACCTATTACAAATTTCATTCTGTATTCATAAATAGGTGAGTCCTTTCGATTTCAACCATTTTGTGGAAAGGTGATCGACTTTTTTCTTATGATTAAAAAAAAACAATACTTTAGATGGCAGCATTTGAGTAATAGATAACATTTAGGAAAAGTCTTCTCCCTAAGGAAGGCACATAATTTCAGTCGGAATAGACATTTTTTGACAACTCGACCATACACACGTAAAAAGAAAACATGATTTCAGACCGCCTAGATACCTGTCTTCGATTATTTCAACCCAATCTATTCGTAGACTGCTCTCGTCGCTGCTGCCAGTCTCATGTGTAAGTCACAATTCGAGCAGTTGAATGTCATCGAACATATCCATTAGATATTTGTTAACAAAATAAAAAGCAATGGAAACCGACAACATGACGAAGAGAATGATGAGCTCACCACTAGCATCATAGATATTCAAATGAGGATGATAGCTGGATTTTAGTTTCATTTTCTCCTCTATGACAATTGAACCATTCCGATTGTTATGCAACTTTAAGTACAATCCAATGCTGATTAGTTTGTCAACTACAGTAGTAGCAAGAACAGAAGTTTGAAAGACGTAGATCGAATGAACTGACCTATATTGCCGTCTGCTGCTGCTACTTTCGAGACGTCCATGAGAGTGGCCGCATTCGCATCTTTGATTGCATCAATCGAAACTACATTCAATCCGATGAATTTCTGTGTCTCTTATCAAACACAACACTTTGATCAAGTCATCAAGAGTTGAGTCAGTGCCACTGTTAGCAGGTATATTGAAGCAAAGGATAACGCGACTTCCGAATAGAATACAGACAAAATGAAAACAAATTCGTGTCTAATTTTGTCCGACTACTTTATCTGACATCTGCCAACTGTATACTTTGATCGGCATTCAACGTCTTGCTGAGACCATATTCATAAAGTACTTGTCATGTTTATTCGTTGCTAATCAAGGTTTTCTTCAGGTCATTCACCGCATTCACCACTGAGAATATGAAAAGAAAAGTGCAGACCACAGATGAGAGGGCGGGTGTGGGTATGGGTGTGGATGGGTAAGGGAATACGTGTGGGCGTGGGTGCGTGTGAATGTGTGGGTATGAATGCAGAGAGTTGCAACTACACTCACATCGAACAGATCTGAGTGAGTATATTTCGCAAAAAAAGGTAGAAAAGCAAGCACGATTCAACATTGATGTAAAACATCTGCTTAAGTATTTATTTAGCAAACAGAAATGTAATACTCTCAGACAAAAGATGAATATATTGAAAGAAATTCACGTTTATTATTCACAGCACATATGAAAACAGACTAAACGGGATATACACAATCAAACCATGAACTCCAAACTACTTAATTTTTTGCACCAGGAGTCCACGATATACAAAGTTGGATAATAATAAAGAGCAAATCAATCAAGTCATTTTCTGCTCTCGGGATAGAAGCACATCCGTTATATTGTACTATCGCTCCTAGGCCATAGGTCATTCCATCTCCATCCAATGTCAGATTGTAGCTATCTGTCTGTCGATAGAAATGTGTGGCATTCGTCTGCATGACATTGTCGGTTAGCCATGTTGAACCATAGTTCGAACTCGGATTTGGATAAAAGAATAGAACATCGTCTGAGGATGATAGAAGCACATCTGTCATTTGAAATAAATCAAAATTGTACATGGCCGTACCAACGAAGGTGAAATTGAATTGAGATGATGTCGAGACAAAGTTTGAAGTCACTAGGCCGTATCCAAGTGTAGCCATGCGAACTCCATATTGTGCCGCATATTGTACACACTTATTCGCTTTGATCTTCCTATCTACCAAACTTTGATATGTTCCGTTACTAGTGAGATAGGATTCGAGCAGATAAATATCTTGAGAGTCGAGAAAAACGTTCGAAACAGAAAAGACATCATCAGGATCCCAGGCATTGACAAAGCGCGTTAAATTCTAGAATATCAAATAGCATTGTTTTTAACTCTGTATATGTCAAGATCAAGAGAACAATATCTTAGGATTCTAATCGACACTCATTCGTTTTCTACAGCTATCTCAAAAAGAACTCGATCATAGTCCAAATCTTTTATTCCAAAATTGTCTCAAGAGTCAGACAATATGCAGCAAATATTGACCTTCGTTCATGTATAATTGAACGCCGTCATTTGTCTATCTCTTGTCGTTTGATAATCCTGGCCGGCATCATCACAAAATATGCCTGTTACTCCAATATTCCCCCATGTATCGACATCTGAACAAAATTGAGCGACACTCTTGTTCGTTGTTGTCACACCTAAATCAATGTAGCCATACACTTCT